AGCAGTAATTATAGTTAATTTATTCTTCATTACTTTTTAGAATGTTCAGTTTACAGACTCATACAGTGCATGTGTGGACACTATTGTAATAATAAATAACTATTATTACTTTTTGCTATTTTTGTTCACTAATTGCCTTTCATTTTGTGTCTTTGATTCCTTTTAGCTGTCAAGTTATTTCATTAGTCAACTTTTGTGGAGAGTTTGATACAAAATAACTGTTAAGACTACTATGGCCCCAGTTTTATTACATATTGTGATGCTATGTAAAAAATTTGAGCCTATTCTGATCATCACTCTTCATGAGCTGACAAGTATACAATTATGGCATTTGAAGCAACTTTAAAAATTTGTAAAAATCTAATTTTGATTACAATCTGCTGCTCAAACTTCTATACAACATAAGGACACATACATGTATGTGTACAAGAAAAATCTATAATCTTTATTATGATAAATATTTAAAATTAAAAATAATTTTTCACTACTCTCTTACATTTGAAGGATCAAGGAATAAAGGAGTTTTTAGACTTTATCTATATCAACTTGGACATTCATTAGAGCTGCCATTAATATTAACGTCTATGCCAAAATGAAGACAGATATGGCTAACACTATATTTCTTGATTAATATATATAGAGATAGCTATGGAGAAAGAGAAAAGAAAATGAGAGGGGAAAAGAGAGCCTGTTTAGTAACTTAACTTGTAAGAAGTAGTGTGGGCAGAAAAATAAGGACAGCTTGCATAGTATGATCTGGCACTTCCTGATTCCAAAGCTGAATTAAAAGAATGAAGGAATGGTTATTTGATCATGTTGATTTGTACCATCTACTCTAGTTTTGGGGGGCATCAAAGGAATTTGTAGATATATATAGACTATATACTTGTCTAGTGCTGAGTCATTGAGTCTACAATTGTGATATTGCGGCTGGCTGTCTAGATCTATCTTCTCAAAATTATGGGCTTATCAGTAGCAAATCCAGGACTAATTTTCTTTCTATTGACTGTAATACAAGTCAATGGTAAGCTCAGCTTATTAAGTTGTGCCTTGCATTACAGGCTATTCTTTCTTTAATATGCCACTACAGTTTTAGCAAGCAGCCTCTCCTCCTATGGAAGTGAATTTTATTTGGCATTTCCAAGGAATGTCAATGGAGCAACAAACCTCACACTAACAGTACACACGCTCAAGAGTACATCAGTTCAATACAGCATTGAGTCTTTCAATCAAGGCTTTAGCTACTCTGGTACAACCACTGCAGGAGATCCTGATGTTGTGGCTATACCATTGAATTATGAAGTTTTGTTTTCCAACTATCCATACCGAAATTTGGGCCTGTATATTACATCACCTGAGACTGAGCCTGTATCTGTTGTTGCATGGAGTGAGAGCATTTATGGGTACTTTTCATTTCTTGGGCTTCCATGTCACACTCAACCAACAAACCAGTATGTATATTATGCAGTTTCATCTTATGGTATCAACAATTTCTTTGGTTATGTTGTTCTTGTTGGATGCATGAATGACACCAATGTCACCATAGTACCAAGTCAATATGCTAACATTACAATGCCAATCAATCCACAATCACCAATCAGTGGATATAACACATATCGAGCAGGAGGAAACAACACATTTGTCATACACGCAGGTCAGACTATAAAAATTGATCAAGCTTTTGCTGATATCTCTGGTACTAAAATAATTTCTGATGCTCCATTGACTGTTATTAGTGGACACATTGCTGCTCAGGTTCCACTTGGAGTAAGTGATGCTGATCCAATGGCAACGCAAGTCACTCCTACTATCACCTGGGGTAAAGAATTCCTTCTGTCTCCTCATCATAATGGAGATAGTGGCCAGTTTTACAAGATTATTGCTGATAAGGATGGAACAAATATTCAAAGGAAATGTGACACCAGTCCTACAGTTAACACTACTCTCTCCTCTGGCCAAGTCTATCAGTTCAATACTTCTAACACTTCTTACTGCAGTCTTGTAGCTAACAGGCCAATATACGTGGGGCATGTTGGACCAAGTACTTTCTTTAATGGAGGTACTTATGGTGATCCAGCACTTAACACAGTTCCTCCAATAAGCCAGTACTTACACTCAATAGAGTATACAACATTCTTTACAACATTGAGTGGTGTGAGCGTCCTTGTACCAAATGATCAATATTTTAGTAACTACCAGATAATTGATAATACTCTCCACTCTATTTCATGGAGCTCCGTAATTCATTTTCCTAATGGAACAATTGCCGGTTATGCCTTTTCTGCCTCAACCTCTGGTACTCATACATTCACCCATTCAAGAAATTCAGGAAGGCTATTTCTTTCAGTATACGGATGGTTGAGACACCATGGATTTGCATATTCAGGTGGCATGGGTCTTGATCCAATAAATCCACTCCCACAGGTTAGTTTTACTCAAGGACTTTTTATTGTTACAGAAGGAAGCAATGATGCCATTATCTACTTAAAAAGAAGTGCAAATGTTGAGGAAGAAGTATCAGTGAGAGTAAGTGTCACTCCTCAACAATTGGACACAGCTGAAGGTAAAAATGCATTGTAATTCCATTTTGACTTATCCTATAATGTATAGATGGAGATGATTATTTGTCAACAAATGAGGTGGTCACATTTAGATATGGAGAGACACTACATAATATAACAATTGCTATTATTGATGACGTCTATGCTGAACCTACTGAATATTTCAGCGTAAGGCTGGAAGCTATTGGACAAGATGTTGTTGTATTTCCAATTACAGAATGCACTGTAGGAATACATGACAATGATTGTAAGTATAACACAGTGTTACTCAGATTCAACATTTTCCAACACAGATATACAGATTGGTTTTAGTAACTCATCACTGATTATTGATAGTACAGAACTGACTCTTGCTGTCTCAAACTATCATGGAATAATGCAATCAGGAGAAATGTCAACTGTTCAGTTGCAAGTTGAAAGTTTATCAGGTACAGACAAATACTTTTTACATAAATTATGCATTCTTGAACCATAGGCGAAGCTTTAAATGTCACTCGCTTTGATTTCTATAATTACAGTGGAAGCTACAGTGCAACTCTTAATCTCTCTCATCTTCCTTTCTCTCTGGTATACAACCAAAATGATCCTGTGTTATTAGGGAGACTTGCTATTGATAAATCAAACATCAATCTAACAATAGAACCACCTGTTATTACCGTTACCTATAATCCTCAAATTCCTCAAATTTTTACTACAACAACACAAGTTGATTGCATGAGTACAACCGTCACCATAACATCCATTCCTACAATATCATCTCAAGCTTGTGCGTTTTCTGAGCCAATTACAGTTACATCTATTCGCACAAGCATGCTAACAACTGCAACAAGTGCTTCAATTATGATCACAAGCCCTCCAGTATCTAAAGTAACAATAACTATTGAGAAGACTTTGCCATGTTCTGCAGCTATACTACCAACAACACAACCGAACCAGTCCTCGTTGAGCTCAAGTGTAGTCGTTGGAGGTGTAATGGGCTATGTTATACTTGTCATTCTCGGTGTTGTTGGCACTGTAGGTGGGTTTTTCTGTGGAAGAAGTACCAGAAGACAACAAGGAATGACAATGTTGGCAACGAATGTACCAGTAATTTTTAGTAATGTTAATGATTATGAAGGTCGTAGAAAAGCAGTTAGATCTGGTATACTTGATAAAAACCAGTCACTTCCTCTACCTATACCTCCGCATAATATTGGTGAAGAGATTTATGATGATAATGCGATTTACATGGAAATGGATAATTTGCAGAAAGAAATGACATACGAAAATTCTGTAGCAATTTCAGCACAGTAAACATGAGTATTGCAGATACAGTAATGTATTTTGTTATTTGTCTTACATTATGCATGCATCAATAAGCCTAATTGTTTACTATTATTGAGTGACCCATCATTACGTATCTAATTGTGTGACACTAATTAAAATAAACCCCCATAGAGTGTTATGTGTAGTAGAGATAGTTGTGTACATATTAATTAAAATTAACAAAATTTTGTGCTGTAGTTTTTGAAATACAATTCGACTATAACAATGTTATAGGGTGTGGTTTTTAAAGGTGTGGCTAGAAAGTCTATGAAATTGCAAAATGATGTCTACTGCTACAGCTAGTTCTTGGAGGGATTTGAGCACTAACGAGATGTCTTATGGATCCCAGAGAAAGATTGCTGCCTTTCTGGACTCGTCTCATACCCTTAACTGAAAAGACTTGCTCTCAATGATGCCAGAATACAGGTACAAAAATAATTTTAATTTTTAAAAACACCATCATCATAATCTCAGTCCTCTACAGATGCAGCAGTTATCCCAGCAGGAGGCGAGAGGGAAGAGTCCCACTATATCACTGTTGAGCCACATGGCATCAAGAGGTAGGACTGTTGGCCAGCTGTACGACTTTTGCAATGAGCAGGAGGAACCTGACTACCCGGGTGGTATCCTATATCCTATTCCTGTATAGTCCTTTTTCACTAACGCCTTTTAATCATATTCATATTTTACACTACGCCCACATTAATTTCATGGCCATTTTGGGTGGCAAGATGGCATGGTGGAGATGGCAGAATGGAGTGAATCGAAGGAAAACTCACTTTCTAGAGCTAGTTTAGATGATGTAGCTATATCAATAGAAAGCTACTAAATTTTTCAGTAATGGAATCAAATTCTGCTGGAAAGATACTGTCATTGTAGCCGTTTATACTGCTTTATACAGGAAAGGGGTCTACTGCAAAATAAAGAAAACCTTCAAAAACATTTGTGGAACAGTTTCTGAGTATTAAATTGTCATATACAAGTATAAAATAACAATATTACCAACTCTAATACTTAGAAACAACAAATACTTGGATGCAGCAACTCACTGTAGTGAGCTTTTGCTGCTCCTATACACTTTACTGCCAGTGTCTATCAATCCAGGAATCATATAATTGTTAAGACAGTTCCTTGGCTTTCTATTGATATAGCTACATCATCTAAACTAGCTCTAGAAAGTGAGTTTTCCTTCGATTCACTCCATTCTGCCATCTCCACCATGACATCTTGCCACCCAAAATGTCCATGAAATTAAATGTGGGCGTAGTGTAAAATATGAATATGATTAAAAGGTGTTAGTGAAAAAAGACTATATGTGAAGTGACAATGACTACAAGTATTATATAAAAATTTATAAATGCAATATTATATATAGATCTAGTCCATGGTATTACCATATAGCCAAAAAATTTTGTGAGGAATAAATTTTCATCCAAATTTGTCTTACATTTTCTGATTCATATGAACGTCTTTATGCTGTGTAGAAAGTTTGAGGTCATTCTGACTTAAACTTTTCAAGTTACAGCTTTTTAAAGAAATTGGCCAAAATCTGAAAAACCCCCCTTACTATAGCCCATAGTTTTTTCTGAAAAATGGCTCCGAAATCACCCCAAATTTTTATTACATTTTCTGATACATATTGATGTACTTATGCTGTGTAGAAAGTTTGAGCTAATTCCAATTTGAATTTTTCAAGTTATAGCCATTTTTAAAAATTAGCCAATAATGGCTTCAAAATTATCACCAATTTTGTTACATTTTGCAATGCTATATAAAAAATTTGAGCAGATTCTTATCATCATCCTTTATGAGCTGACAAGTATACAATTATGGCATTTGAAGCAACTTTAAAAAATTTTTTAAATCTAATTTTGATTGCAATTTGCTGCTCAAACTTCTATACAACATAAGGACATGTACATGTATATGTACAGTACAAGAAAAAACTATAATCTTTATTATAATGAAATTAAAATATTATTTTTCACTACTCTCTTACATTTGAAGTATCAAGGAATAAAGGAGTTTTTAGACTTTATCTATATCAACTTGGACACTCATTGGAGTTGCCATTGTTATTAATGCCTATGCTAAAATGAGGACAGATAATGTGGTTAGCATTACATTTCTTAATCAATATAAAGGGATGGTTAGGAGAAAAAGAAAAAGAAAAAGAGAGAGGAAAAGAGAGCATGTTTAATAACTTAACAACAGACTCTTCTAAGAAGTAGTAGTGTGGGCGGAATGATAAGGCCTGAAAGAACGAAGGAATGTTAATTTGATTATGTTGATGTGCATATAGTTATGGGTATCAAAGGAATTATTTGTAGATATAGACTACTTGTCTAGTGCTGAGTCAGTGAGTCTACAATTGTGATATTGCGGCTGGCTGTCTAGATCTATCTTCTCAAAATCATGGACTTATCAGTAGCAAATCTCGGACTAATTTTCTTTCTATTGACTGTAATACAAGTCAATGGTAAGCTCAGCTTATTAAGTTGTGCCTTGCATTACAGGCTGTTCTTTCTTTAATATGCCACTACAGTTTTAGCAAGCAGCCTCTCCTCCTATGGAAGTGAATTTTATTTGGCATTTCCAAGGAATGTCAATGGAGCAACAAACCTCACACTAACAGTACACACACTCAAGAGTACATCAGTTCAATACAGCATTGAGTCTCTCAATCAAGGCTTTAGCTACTCTGGTACAACCACTGCAGGAGATCCTGATGTTGTGGCTATACCATTAAATTATGAAGTCTTCCTATCCTCCTATTCAAACCGAAAGTTAGGCCTGCATATTACATCACCTGAGACTGAGCCTGTATCTGTTGTTGCATGGAGTAGGAATATTTATGGGTACTTTTCATTTCTTGGGCTTCCATGTCACACTCAACCAACAAATTCATATGTATATTATGCAGTATCATCTCATGGTTACAGTAACTTTCCTGGATATTTTCTCCTTGTTGGGTGCATGAATAACACCAATGTCACCATAGTACCAAGTCAATATGCTAACATTACAATGCCAATCAATCCACAATCACCAATCAGTGGATATAACACATATCGAGCAGGAGAAAACAACATATTTGTTGTACATGCAGGGCAGACTATAAAAATTGATCAAGCTTTTGTTGATCTCTCTGGCACTAAAATAATTTCAGATGCACCATTGACAGTTATAAGTGGACACAGTACTGCTCAGGTTCCACTTGGAATAAGTGATGCTGATCCAATGGCAACACAAGTCCCTCCTACTATCACCTGGGGTACAGAATTCCTCTTGTCTCCTCATCATAATAGGAATACTGGTCAGTTCTATAAGATTATTGCTCACAAGGATGGAACTAATATTCAAAGGAAATGTGACACCAGTCCTACAGTTAATGCCACTCTCTCCTCTGGCCAAGTTTATCAGTTCAATACTTCTAACACTTCATACTGCAGTCTTGTAGCTAGCAGGCCAATATATGTGGCACATGTTGGAACAAGTAAAAACTTTAATGGAGGTACTTATGGTGATCCAACTCTTAACACAGTTCCTCCAATAAACCAATACATACACTCAATAGAGTATACAAGATACTTTGCAATATCTAGTGGTGTAAACCTGCTTATACCAAGGGATCAATACTTCAGTAGCCACCTGATAATTGATAATACTCTTTTCCCTATTTCATGGGACTCCGCTATTTACTTTCCTAATGGAACAATTGCTGGCTATGGTTGGCACTCTTCAACTTCTGGTACTCATACATTCACCCATCCAAGTACTTCAGGGGGGATATTTCTTTCAGTATATGGATGGACGACATTCAGTGGATATGCATTCTCAGGTGGCATGGGTCTTGATCCAATAAATTCACTCCCACAGGTTAGCTTTACTCAAGAACTGTTTATCGTTACAGAAGGAAGCAATGATGCCATTATCTACTTAAAAAGAAGTGCAAGTGTTGAGGAAGAAGTATCAGTGAGAGTGAGTGTCACTCCTCAACAGTTAGACACAGCTGAAGGTAAATGATACATTCTGATTCTATTTTGACTTATCCTATAATGTATAGGTGGAGATGATTATTTGTCAAAAAGTGCAGTGGTCACATTTAGATATGGTGAAACGCTACATAATGTAACCATTGCTGTTATTGATGACCTCTATGCTGAGTCTACTGAGTATTTTACTGTAAGACTGGAAGCTATTGGACAAGATGTTTTTGCATTTCCAATTACAGAATGCACTGTAGGAATACAGGACAATGATTGTAAGTATATAACACAGTGATTCTTAGATTCAATATTTTTCAGATATACAGATTGGTTTTAGCAAATCATCACTGATTATTGATAGTACAGAAATGACTCTTGACATGTCCAACTATCGTGGAATAATGCAGTCAGGAGAAATATCAACTGTTCAGTTGCAAGTTGAAAGTTTATCAGGTACAGACAAATACTTTTTACATAAATCATGCATCTTTGAACCTCAGGTGAAGCTTTAAATGTCACTCGCTTTGATTTCTATAATTACAGTGGAAGCTACAGTGCAACTCTTAATCTCTCTCATCTTCCTTTCTCTCTGGTATACAACCAAAATAATGCTGTGTTGTTAGGGAGACTTGCTATTGATAAATCAAACATCAATCTAAGAATAGAGCCATCTGTTATTACTGTTACCTATAATACTAAAACTTCTTATGCTACTACAACAACACAAATTAATCACATGAGTAGTGATATTTCAACTGTCACCATAACATTCATTCCTACAACATCATCTCAAGCTTGTGTGTCCTCTCGGCCAATTACAGTTACATCATCCATTACTACAATATCAACGCAAGTTTGTACATTTTCTGAGCCAGTTACAGTTACATCTATTCGCACAAGCATGCTAACAACTGCAACAAGTGCTTCAGTTATAAATGAAAGCCCTTCACTATCTAAAATAACAATAACGGTTGAGAAGACTTTGCCATGTTCTGCAGCTATACTACCAACAACACAACCAAACCAGTCCTCGTTGAACTCAAGTGTAGTTGTTGGAGGTGTAATGGGCTATGTTATACTTGTCATTCTCGGTGTCGTTGGCACTGTAGGTGGGTTTTTCTGTGGAAGAAGTACCAGGAGACAACAAGGAATGACAATGTCGGCAACAAATGTACCAGGGGTAATCTTTAGTAACTTTAATGATTATGAAGGTCGTAGAAAAGCAGTTAGATCTGGTATACTTGATAAAAACCAGTCACTTCCTCTACCTATACCTCCACATAATATTGGTGAAGAGATTTATGATGATACTGCTATTTACATGGAAATGGATAATTTGCAGAAAGAAATGACATACGAAAATTCTGTAGCAATTTCAGCACAGTAAACATGAGTATTGCAGATACAGTAATGTATTTTGTTATTTGTCTTACATTATGCATGCATCAATAAGCCTAATTGTTTACTATTATTGAGTGACCCATCATTACGTATCTAATTGTGTGACACTAATTAAAATAAACCCCCATAAAGTGTTATGTGTAGTAGAGATAGTTGTGTACATATTAACAAGAGTAGATATTAATTAAATTTAACAAATTTTTGTGCTGTAGTTTTTGAAATACAATGTTATAGGGTGTGGTTTTAAAGGTGTGGCCAGAAAGTCAAGGAAATTGCAAAATGACGTCTACTGTTAGAGCTGGTTCTTGGAGAGATTTGAGCACTAATGAGATGTCTTATGGATCCCAGAGAAAGATTGCCGCCTTTCTGGACTCGTCTCACACCCTCAACTGGAAAGACTTGCTCTCAATGATGCCAGAATACGGGTACAAAAATAACTTTATTTTTTAACAATTATCATCATCATCAATAATCTCAGTCCTCTACAGATGCAGCAGTTATCCCAGCAGGAGGCGAGAGGGAAGAGTCCCACTATATCACTGTTGAGCCACATGGCATCAAGAGGTAGGACTGTTGGCCAGCTGTATGACTTTTGCAAGACACTTGGAATGAACAGAATATGTGAACTAATAGTACAAGGATTACAAGGTACTATTATTGTATTTTAAGCAATTATTATGTTAATAATTATGCATTTTATTTATATATGTTATTTATGTTTTTCAAGTAATGTAATGATTATTAAATATTTAGTATTTTATTATTATCATGCTTTATTTGTATTAAAAGTAAATATTATTAGATGTAGTATTGAAAACATTTAATAATGTTTTGGGTTGGAATTGAATCGAGTATATACATGTATAATTATTTTATTTTAAATTCACTTCTTCTTATTCTTAGAAAGAAACATCAAAGTAGACGTACCTTTGCCTACTCCTCATTCCACTCCTCCGTCAAACGGTCGACCATTTGTCCCTCCCCACCCTCCTCCTCCTCCTCAACCTGTAATTGTTGATACTCTACTACGTGAATCTAGCGATAACTCTACAAGTACTTCTAGAACTGACCAATCAGATTCTAAACCAAATGCAAAACCATCTCTCTCTCCATCGCCCTCTTCATCTCTCCACCCACCACTCTCTCACGAAACCACACCCACTCAGATCCTCTCGTACGAAGACGTCAAAAAAGCGACGGGAGACTTTGATAATGTTTTATTCTCTGAGGGTGGACATAAGCTAGGACAGGGTGGGTTTGGTGTTGTCTATCAGGGACAGATTAATCTTGGGGAAGGTAACAGGGAAGTCGCTGTCAAAGTTTTTGTCGATGATGTGAGTTTTTATAAAACAATTCTCAAATTTTACTTTTTTATTAAAATTAATAGGCAAATTCTGAAATGGTATTACAATTTAAGACTGAGCTACACACCATCTCAAAGTATCCACACACAAACACACACACACACACACACACACACACACACACACACACACACACACACACACACACACACATACACACACACATACACACACACACACACATACACACACACACACACACACACACATACACACACACACACATACACTAATAGCTTGTACACATTATCACTATAAACTCTCCCTCTACTCCATGCCCTCCTGTACTTTCCCTTAGCTATCAGTTGATTTAAAGTGTGTAGATTTGTATTTTAAAATGACATCATGGCTTGTTTACTGGTAATCCTCATGGAGTTACTTTCACTTTTCATTTCCCTCATATCAGTAACATATACATGTACATGTATTGCTATGAATATAATTACTTACGTATACATGTATGTATATTTAATACTTTGTATGCTTAGTTGAATGATACCGTATAGCACTTTACTTTGTAATGCCAGGCTTAAATGTGGCAGAATCCTTAAGCAACTTAGTAGCAAAAATCTTATCACAAAAGAACCAACAATAGTTATAACTCATTAAATAAACATTAATAATTATTAGTGATCATGAATAAAATAACGAGTTAGGAGTAATAGTTGCAATTGCCTCCTCTTTGCTTAAAGGTCGTCCTCGACTTACATAAATAATAAAATAAACAATAATAATAATAACACACTAATAATACAATTAATAATACCAAACCATAATAATAATTATTATTATAATTTTGGTGGCACTTTATTTTGGTGATTTTGCTGTAAAATTGTAATAGGTGGTTTTTAATTTGGCGATTTTTGTGTACACATGCATTACTGAGCATGCGCATTAATGATTGGCGGTTTTAATATTGGCGATTCTGCTTGCAAACCGCCAATCACCAAAATAAAACTCCGCCAAATTAAAGTGCTATACAATAGGCTAATGAACCTATTCTCATCTATCCACTTCTTTATATATATATATATAAATTTGAATGTACTTTATTCTTATTTAGCACCTCCTTATTTTCCATAGACTAAAACATCCCAACCTATTACCACTTCTTGGCTACACTTCCAACCAGTCCACACTGTGTCTAGTGTATCCTTATATGGCATTGGGCTCACTGGATAAACACTTGAGTAGGTTGGAGCTCGGGAGTGAGAGGAGGCTTCAGATACTGAGAGATATTGCATCAGGTTTACATTATCTGCACACTGGGTGTGGTGAAATATTAGTACATAGAGATGTGAAGAGGTAAGCACTGTATGCAATCTTTTTAGAATTATTTTAATAGCAGATTTTTATTTTTCCAAAAAATGGCTCCAAAATCACCCCCAATTTTTATTACATTTTCTGATGCATATTGACATCCTTATGCTGTGTAGAAAGTTTGAGCGAATTCCGTCTTCAATTTCTCAAGTTATGACCATTTAAAAAATTGGCCAATTTTTGAAAAATTCCCTGTACTATATAGCCCATAGTTTTTTTCTGAAAAATGGCTTCGAAATTACCCCAAATTTTTATTACATTTTCTGATGCATATTGATGTTCTTATGCTGTGTAGAAAGTTTGAGCAAATTCCGACTTCAATTTCTCAAGTTATGACCATTTAAAAAATTGGCCAATTTTTGAAAAATTCCTTGTACTATAGCCCATGGTTTTTTCCGAAAAATGGCTCCGAAATCACCCCATATTTTTATTACATTTTCTGATACATATTGACGTCCTTATGCTGTGTAGAAAGTTTGAGCTTATTCCAACTTTAATTTTTCAAGTTATGACCATTTTCAAAATCTTATGTCATCACTCTCTCCTTTCCCCAGTGCTAATATTCTCCTGGATCAAAACTGGAGAGGTGTATTAACAGACTTTGGCATAGCTAGAACACTCAGTTTAGAAACTACGACTGTTGTAACTCAAAGGATAGTTGGTACTAGAGTCTACATGTCACCAGAGTACTGCACTGGATTAGTATCGCCTTCAGCTGATGTCTATTCACTTGGTGTGGTAAGTGTAATCTTTTAGCATATTAATGACCTCTGAATGTTGCTCTTACTAGTGTGTTTGTGTGTGTACTAATGATGAAATTTTTACTATTACCGTATAGTGGGTTTATTTCAAGGATAACAAATTTTGCGAATTTTACAGATTTTTGAAGATTCGTGAAATAAAATTCCTTGAAAATCAATTTAATATGGTACAAGATGGCAGAAAAGTGGAAATTCGTGAAAATCAATTCCATGAACCTCCGGATATAGTCCATTTGCGAAAATTATTATCCTCAAAATAAACCAGCTATACGGTATATCTTATTGTTTGTGTGTGTGTGTTCTGTTTCAGGTGATACTTGAGCTGGTGTTTGGATGTTTGGCATTACACAGCCCCAAAGGATCAGATACTGATATTGTTAGTTCAATTTAACCTAATAATACTCCAATGACAACCAAACATGCTTCTCCTACACACCTAAAAAAATGCATTTGACACTATTCTTCCTCTTCTCTCTCTTGTAGATAAGTTTTCTTGATGAATGTGATGAAACAGCTGAATTTTATTTATCATGTTGGTCCAGGAGTGATGGTGAGAGTCTAGAGGAACTAGCAGAAAAGTGCACTAACCCGTATAGAGACCAAAGACCTACCATAGCTAAAGTAAGTCTGTAAGATTAATATTATTCACTGTGACCATTGAGGATAAGAAAATGCAGTGAAGTATACTGTATTTGTATGCTATACTCATAATGTTAAATTATGTCTCTTTTTACATTATATATAGGTGCTAGAGAAACTTTGACTTTCCATTCAATCTTTTTTATTTTATTTTCTTCTTTAATCAGTACATCAAGAAAAGTTAACTGAATATTAAGCTTGTTTACACTTTACACGTATAGTAAATGCTAAAGGCTATCCACTTTCTTTGAGTAATGTAATGTCCCTTGGTAATGCATAAGGGCAGGTCAGGAATGCAACCACAAAAATTTTATTATTTTAACAAAAGATACTAGACCTTAAAAGTTACACACAGCATAATTGTTTGTTCTACAGCTCTAGCTACATAATAAACTAAAGAATAGACTGCTTGTTTGTGGCAATTTTAGCTCAAATAATTATTGTCTTTGAAGGCTTGACTGCTTGAGTATCATCAGGCCATTTCAAATGTTTGATTGGTTGATTTGAGTCTTGGGCTTGTAGCAGCATCTTCCTCTTCTGGATCGATTTTCTCAAAGCAGAGCCAAGGAGTGAGCATGGTTAAACTAACAGCATCAAGTATTGCAATACCAGCAAACAGGGACTCTTCATTAGTGACAGCAGGAATGGGTGCATGAATAATCGACTCATATGTCCAGTACAAATTCCTGTCAGCTGATACTACAACATGGGAAAGGTAGTATAGGAAAATGATGCGAGGGACAAAGAGGCCAATAACTTGAAAGAGCATGATGACTGGAATACAGAGCAGACGACCTGAGGTTCGCTTTCTAGCTCTATCCCCTTTACTGCATGTCAGTAGTATCCACGTTATGATAGCAACTGCTAGTGCTGATAAACCAAATGTTGTAGCAGCATTCTCGAAACCTTCCAATAGGTGGACTTCAATGCATTTGAGGTCTGCTGTGTCATTGGGAAATGGGAATGGTTTCTGAGTGACATTGAAGATGTCAAGACAATAGAAGTAGCGAACGATTGGATCCCAGTTATTTATGATGGCGTTTGTGGAATTGTGAAAAGCACTGTCCCAGAACGTGAAGAAGCTATGTATGCATATAATGAATGCAACGAAGAGAAGGTAGTATGTGTAGCAGACTGGAGCTTTGTATCCAAATAGGACAAAGTTGGAGCCTTTCTTTTCCAGGAAGCAGAAGATGTGCTGTGCAACTCCTATAACCCTCTTGTGGAGGCCTGCAGCTCTCTGACCAATGCAGCAACAGCAGGCAAATATTGGTGCCAGTATTATGAGGAGGATCACAGTGAGACTGGGAATCATAATGACAATGACTACTTGCATCAGAAATTGAATGTAATCACTTGCAGTAGCAAACTCTTCGCTGACAAAGAAAGCCATGACTGCCAACAGACAAATGGAGATAGTGGGTTGCTTCTATTATATAGTGAGTGCCTTATGTAGATCCTCCTACTTACATTCTGCACATATTATTTTTAATGTGTGAATTCAAGAAGGATCAAATGACTTTAGCTATAGGGTATATGTGTAGCCTATGATTTCACAGGTTATAGCAGTTATATCTACATAGTCATAGTTCAGCCAAGTCAGGCGGGCCTGCCTGACTAGGTTCAGCCAAGCCTGACTAGGTTCAGCCCTGCATGAAGTAATGTGGACAGGTGCCAGCATTACATCTTTACCATAACAAAAATTTATTATTAACATTAATTTAATTTCAGTCTCAAATATTATTATTATGAAATCATAGACATACAATCAGGACTGTTCTCTTTATCTCTTTCTCTCTCAAGTTTATTTGAGTGGAATAAATCGCGAGGAATGAGTAGCTCCTATACCTGGTTTACCATGCTTGACAGGTTTGTAAGTCATGGCAAATTCTCCCAAATAATGTCCAACCATTTCAGCCTAAAAAAGTACAAAGAATCTAATCAATCAATTATTTATACTAAAATATTCCAATAATAGCCCAGAATTAATATTGGTGAACTTAAAATCAGCCAAAGGATCGCCATTTTGTTTTTAATCTGAGCATACTTCATCAGTGACAATTAAAAATGGCCGTTAAATCGCCAATATAAAATTCACCAATTGCAAATTGTAATGAAATGCCAAATATAACTTTCGCCAATACTTTCAGCAATACATTAGTCAACATTAGCAACAAAATTCTCCTACCCTCCTATTTAATCATTAATAGGTATAGTAACTGCTAAACATTCACCTTGATCTCTACTTGATTGAAAGTCTTTCCGTTGTGTATTCCAACAACTGATCCAATCATCTCTGGAAGGATAATCATATTTCTCATGTGAGTCTTGACACAAGCTGGCTTCTCCATGGGGGGTGCCTCCTTCTTTGCCTTGCGAAGCCTTGAAAATAGAAATAATAATAATAATAATAATAACAATAATAATGTGTTCACACGTTATGGGATGATCATGGCTTTATGGACGCTTCATTATATAGCTG